CCCCCTCCCACGGACACCCCTTGACCCCCCCTGTCCCCCCAGCACCCACCCACAGCGCTGTTCTGCCCCCTCCCGTGTGCATTCCTGCCCTCCACCCGTCCGCATTCGGGATTTTGGGGGGTTTTGGGTGGGACTCGCGCTCTCTCTCCGCCGCCGCATACGGAGGTAAAAGCCAAAATTTAATTTGGGTGAGTTCAAAGGAGCGGGATGGCTCAGCCAGGATGGATTTTCCCTGAATCCTCATCAGTTCCCACAAAAAAAAGCCAAAAACAAGGAGTCAAACAGCCACGGGGGTCACTGAGGTTTGGGATGGGGCATCCCCCTGAGCGGGAGGCACAAAATATTGGGAATTTGGGGCAGGATTGGCAGAGTTCTTGGTCCATGGAGGGCGAGGGAAGTCATGGGAGCAGCAGGTGGAAGCTGGGAGAGGGGGAGAATTCTTTTTGCTCCCCATTTCCATCTCCACAGGCAGCAGCCCTGGGAGCCAGGGCTGCAAAGTCCAGCCAAACATGAAAAATGAGTTCTATATCCATCTATATCTATATCTATATCTATATCTATATCTATATCTATATCCACAAATATCTATCTATATCTATCTATCTATATCTATCTATATACATATCTATATCTATATCCATAAATATCTATATCTCTCTATATATCTATGTCTACATCCATATCCATATCTTTATCTTATATCTATATCTATATCCATAAATCTCTATATCTCTATCTCTGTATCTCCATATATCTATATCTATATCTATATCCATAAATATCTATCTATATCTATATATCTATATATCTATATATCTATATATCTATATATCTATATCTGTATATCTATATCTATCTATATCTATCTATATACATATCTATATCAATATCTATATCTATATCTATATCTATATCCATAAATATTTATATCTCTCTATATCTATATATCTATGTCTATATCCATATCCATATATATATCTTATATCTATATCTACATCCATAAATATCTATATCTATATCTCTATATCTCTCTATCTCTATCTCTATCTCTATCTCTATCTCTATCTCTATCTCTATCTCTCTAAACATAAATATATATATACAAAATTATATATCATATATAGATTTATATACAACATTCCTGGCGGCTTCTACTTAAAAAAAAATTTTAAAAATGAATTTTAAATCTGTCTTTAATTTTAGATTTTTATTTTCATTTTAGATCTTTATCTTTTGAATCTGAATCTATCTTTAAATCTATTTTAGGGTGTCTATCAATGCCACTGGACTTTGCATGCTGTTGAGGGCTTCCAAGCAGGGCTTCCTCAGCTTGTGGCACTGCCAGGTGAGATTTCCCCCAGGGGATTTGGGGCTCCCCTGGGCTGCTCTGAGTCACCTGTCCTTGGCACACCTGAGGAGCCCCCGCTGCTTTGCAGGGATCCTCGGAAAAGAGCATTATTCCTATCAGCCACCAATCATTTTATTACTCTTTATAATCTATTGCAAGCACAATTAGAAGGAAGGAGGGGGGGAAAAATAAAGAAAAAGAATAAAAAAAAGAAAATCTATCCAAATTTCCAGCCGAAAGCACACTTCAGTCCTGCTGTAAATCCCTGGACAGCAGCCATCCATCACGGACAGCGGCTCCCCTGACAGAAACGGATGCTCCCGCGCTCCATGGAAGGGCTGGAATTTGCACCTGGATCTCACAGCACGACTCCTTGGGGCTCCAGCAGCAGGAAGTCACGGAGAGCCTTGGGCACGGGCAGCAGAGGGATGAGGGAATGGCACCTGCTCCCAAAATTTGCGCGGATGGCGGAGCGGCACAAGTGCTGCAGGCAGCGGGCTGTGCCAGCCAGCCTGAGAATGGACTCGTAGAAAGGCTGGTGCTGCTGCAGAGAGAGGGGCAAGGCCAGCATCACCCACCTGGGCTGGGTCTTTTCCCAACTGCCAGAGGAGCTGGAGGTGTTTAGGGATGAAGAGCTAAGGGAAGCAGGGAAGAAGCCCAGGTGGGTGAGGCATCCGGGCACTGACACGGCTCTGCAGGGAAAGGGTGGGTGAGGAATTCTGGAATTCTCCTGTGGGGAAAGGCAGCTGCTTGTGGAGCATCCCACAGATGTAGAAGAGACCCTGCTCCTGAGGCAGGGAAACAAAGCAGGATTGGGCTGTGCAGCCTCAGCCTTTCCTGAATTGGGGGGGGAAATATTTTCTCCCATTCCCTAGAAAAAGCTGAAGGCTTTATTTGCATTCCAGCCATCCCTCACAACCTGTGGGGCCAGCAGCCATCCCAAATCATCCCAGAGAGGGATAGCTGGAAATGTTGCATGTCTGAGGAGGAGCTCTTCCCAACTAAAACGAGGGGTGTGGGCTCCTGCTGGGAAGTGCTCTGGCTCCAGGGTCACTCCCAGAGGCTGAGAGTGGATTCTGTGGCAGGTTGGGGCAGGGATGTGGGGTCTGAGGATGGAGGAGCTGAAGGGATGCAAACCTGGAGAGTGGTGCTGCTCTAGGGGAATATTCCTTGTTTTTTCTCCATCCAAATGAAGTCTGGGTGGGGGAAAACGAACCCTTGTTCTGTGGGGAAAATAAAATGAACCCTTGTTCTGTGGGGAAAATAAAATGAATCCCTGTTCTGTGGGGAAAATCCCCTCCTTGGGTCTCAGCCAGCCCTGCCAAGCAGCGCTGCCTCACCTGGAACACCTCCTGTGGCACGGCCTCAGCCCACTCCTGGGAGACTGGGATTTGGGAGTAGGAATTGAAGAGGACTTCGATGACCTCCGGCACAGCAGCGCAGGATTTCAGCACCTGTGCAGGGACGGTGTGAGGGCTCAGACAGAGGGGGTAAACATCCACCTGCTGCAGCCAGGGTTTGTCCCACCCCACCACGCTCCAGGCTGGGACAGCTCTGTGTTGGGATCAGGCAGGAGTGGGGTTTGTCTGGCGCCTTTTGGAGCTCTTGCTCCATCCGTGGAGCAGTGGGAAGTCCCGCCCTGCTGAGGCACTTCTTCCTCTGGATGCAGCCCTCGCTCCTTATTTACATTTTTGGCTTGTGCCTGACAAGGCAGGATAATATTTTCTTTATAGTTTGATGTAAAATCAATGGAACGCAGAGCCACGAGGCAGCTCGTGCTCCAAGCCTGTCTCTGATATTCCCTGTGATGCCTTAAGTTTTAGCTTTCATATTTTTCAGATTCTGCATTGCCTACATGTGTAGTTTTGAGCTTCATATTAAGTGTTGGTGAGCTCTCTTCACAGAGCAGGTAGACAAAACAATTCCTTTTCTAGCTCAAGGAGTACCAAGTACCAGTACTCTAGTACCAAGGAGAAGTGTTACAAGTTCCAGGCCCAAAAGCATAAACAAGGGTGGATTGAAGAGAGAAAACAAGAAGGATGAGACTTCATAACCTGAAGCAATAAATCCTGATATGCAGATGGAACAAAACTTATAAAAATGTGAGACCTCATGACCTGTCATCGATTTTGTGACCATTTTGGGTCCATCTTGGGTGTAGCCCTGGCCAGGCTCTTGCACTGCCCAAGCTGTGTCCTTTAAGGCCTTTCAATAAATACCTGCTTTATTCTTAACTCTGTCCAGCCTCTGTTCCAGGTCAGCCTACTCAAGGCATCACCTTGGCAGGGAAAAACCCCTCTGAGCCACGCTGGCTCCATCCTGCCCTTCTGCTGGGCCTTCACTTCCATCACTCCCAACCCCACAGTCCCCTCTCCCTGCCCAGACTGTGAAGCTCTCCCAAATTCTCCCATCCCACCACCTTTACGTTTCCCCAGGCTCCCAACCACCGCGGTGCGAGGCACCGTTTTGGGGCCGGTACCTTGACGAAGGCAGGGGGCCATATCTTCTGGGAGCCGTGGTTGAGCAGCAGCTGGATGGTGAGGTGTGGACGCAGATCCCTGTGGGAGGCAGCGCTCTGCAGGGCCCAGCCCAGCGGGGACACCCCGTCGTAGTCGGCGGCGTTGGCGTCGGCCCCACGCCGCAGCAGGAGCCGCACCAGCTCGGCGTTGGCCGCGCCGCACGCCCGGTGCAAGGGGCTCCTCCAGCTCTCGTCCCGGGCGTCCACGTCGGCGCCGTGGGCATCCAGCAGCTGGAAAAGCTGCAGGGAATCATCACCTGTGCCCGGGGCCCGCCCGCAGAGGATGCCCAGGGCCGTCTCCTCCCGTGCGTTGCGGGCGTCGACGCGCGCCCGG